TGTGTCCCCGACAATAGAGCCAATTTGTTTGGCATGTCAAACCCAACAAATAATAGGGGTACAACAGACTCCAATACATTGTTTTAATGCACTAAAAAGCAGTACAAGGCAAATAGGGTCGAATCGTAGAGACACGGGATAAAAATATATACCTCTTTGCACAAGGTACTTTGGTCACAAAGGAGGATTTGTTTGCAAAAGTCAAATGATAAAAATAACAATCAACTTTGAAACATGCAGAAAATAAAATAGATTTGTAAACAAGTTGTAAAAGTGTTTCCAGTTCTAGTTTTCAATGTTTTCATTTAACCTGATTGTGACTTGATGTAATTTGTGATTGCTATTCTAAGTTGGTACTGAAAGGTATTTAACGCTCTAATATCTCTTGGTTTCCAAATTATCTAACCAAAACACGCTCTTTGACTAGACCTAGCTTTACTAATTCAACCTAAACATGCTCTTAAATTGTATTGAAAAACTGTATTAAGCTTTGTACAAGCTTCCCAATAATGTTTATTTCTTCTCATACGCCCGGAAGTGTGAAAACATGTGATAAATGTTCTACAATAAGAAAACCTATTGTTTGTTACCAATATTTAACTTTATAGAACGATTAGGTACCCTAAAAGTTAATTAACTACACAAAAATTCAATTCTTGAAAGTGGCCAATCAAACACAAATCAAATTCAAGGATTCCAGTTTATACAAAAAACATAATCACTAGAATAGAATCACAAGTCAAACATCTAACCATGTGCTTCAAGTCAAGCAATCAACATGTTTTGAATAAGAACTAGAAACTAGGGTTTCTTAGCTACACATGGCTAAGAACAAATCAAACAAGTATAAAGATGGAATTGGAATGTTTAATGCTTACAAAAATGAAATCAAAAGTGTTTGCAATGATTAGGTATTCTTAAACGCTCCAAGTATTCTCCCAAAGTCACCCAAGATCGGCCAAACTACTCCAAAAACCGTTTTCCCCTCTAAAAATGATGTCTTCCCTTCTTTTATTAAAGTTCAGGTGCTTTCCATAAGGCCATGTGTTTTTAGCATGGCCATGCCTTTTGCCCATGTGTTTTTGGCATGGCCATTTGTCTTGATCATGTGTTTTTGGCATGGCCCATGCTTTTTGCTAAAAGTCTAATAGTCTTCACTGTTGGCTCCATCTTCAGTCTAGCTTCACCATGAGTCATGTTGCTCTAAATATACAATGAGAAAGGAAAAACACGACCCGTGTCAGTCTGACATGAGCCGTGCTTCAAATGTAGTCCTTTGCTATGATGATAATGCACAATGACTCAGGTTCCATCTTATTGTTCTCTTCCATTGCATGACCGGTTCATCTTCTCTTCATGCTCCAAAGCTCCATGCTCCAAGTTCCATGCTCCATGATCCATAACGCCTGCAAAATTAAAAAAAAAAAAAAAAAAAACTGAAGTACTCGGCATTCTTAATGAAATATGTAATTGCCCTAATGATTAACTAAATGCAAGAATTATGAAGTAGAATGCTATGAAAGGACGGAAATAAAAATGCAAAATAGGTGCATAAAATGCACCTATCACGTAGGGTCCTATTAACACTAGAATTTAGAAAGAATATACGCTCTGCTAGTTTTATAAAATACAAACTATGTTTCTATATTTTGTAAACTGATTTCACAATTTTGGTCTTAGGGTTTTAAGACCACAACATCTTTTATATACAAAAAATATAGGATTTTCTGGGAACACCCTCTTTTCAGAAACGAAAAAAGGAAAACTAAAGAAAATGCATGCAATTATACACGATTTTGGAACGAGACTTACAAACTACGTTTTATAGAAAATATTGGATTTTCTAGAGTTTTACAACTTACTATGAACAAAGATAATACAAAGTTTTCTACAACTATGCTTATGAACTCACCAACATTCTATGTTGATGCTTTTCAAAACGACTTGTATTCACAGGAAATCAGTGAATAGGTACTCGAGCCTCGGATCTGGACATGTTACTATTTCAGAGACATCATACTTTTTGGTGATTTTTGTGTAGTTAAAGAACAGATACACTTTGTAAACGATGAATGTTGGTATATTGTATTGTATGATGTTTGGTTGCTATGTATCATTTATATTCAACTACTATGATATTACTCAATGATGTCAACCGCCCCCGGACGTTTCCGCCGTCCTGGTTCGGTGGTGACACCATGGTTGATCAACATCATGCATTTGTTTTCTAAACCCTCTGCAAAAAAAACAAAGAAAATACTTACTATTTTGTGCATTTTCCTAACATGGTTGAAAAAAATATATTATAAGCTTCATTTACATCCACATCATCTTTTGAAAATTGCAAGCTCCACATCATTGGTTCCATCATCTTCAAAAAGAGGTTAAAAGTTGTAGAGAGAACCTATAGAAGAAGCTTCTTGTGATGAAGATGGAGAGTGTAGATAGGTTTTCTTGGGTGAAGAATGGAAATTGTAGCTTAGGGATGTATCATGCAAATCTTAGGCATAATTAGTCTTATTAATGGTAACAAGACATTAAAGATAGAAGGCGAAAGGAAAATACCAAAATGCCTTCAGGTAAGGGGCATGTGAATGTTTAACAAACTTAGGTAGGCAATAACTAAGGGAGGAACCAAAACAATTTTCTTTGCCAACCATGAGGACCATTGATGTCAAATTTTAAAAACTAGGACTAAAAGTGTAGAAAAATGACAACTATAGGTACCAAAATAATAAATTACTCTAAAAAATATAAAATAGAATTGTCAAAGTCATTTTAGCATGAGTGAACGGGCTTAAATCGATGATGTTAACTTGAGGGATGAAAACCATAACGGAACATGTCCATATGGACCATCTATGCAAAATTGAAGGTTTAGGGGTTGGAACCCCAATTTTATGATAAACATAATGACAAAATTTGTAGTTTTCTCTCTCTTTTTTCACTTGAAATAAGTTTTTATATCATGCTACTTCGAAATGAGATAAAATGAGTCCGGTTCACTTTTTTCTCATTCGCTTTCAGTTTAAAACTGAAATATTTCTCAAACAATAAAGAAAATTCAAAGTATGATGTTATGAAAATTTAAAAGTAGGATACTATAATAGACTAATAATAATAAAAAATGTATAGTAGAAGAATTAAAACTGGACTTTTAACCCATTTTGTAGAAATACCATGAAAATAGAAACCCTAACGACATTAATTCTCGTGTTCTTTATTTCTTATATATATATATATATATATATATATATATATATATATATATATATATATATATATATATATATATATATATATATAATATGATACATTTAATAAAATTAATAATATTTTAATCAATTTAACATTATTTAATATGGTAGGAGGATAAATGGAATGAAAATGTAGATATACATTTAATTTTTCTAAATGATTAGCTCTTATTAAAATTGAAAGACAAAATACATATTTTTTATGGGAAAATAAAAGACTCCCTAGTCAATAAGTAAAAGACACCTAATTTAATTGAAACACCCACTCACCATATTAAATTAGACTCCCTAAAAATTTGCATTATTTCAACACGGATCCTATTTTTAACACACTAACCTACAACATCATCCTATATCATTAGATTTACTTTTTAATTGAATGATTACAAATTATTACCATATAATTATCATTGACCATACTTTTTAAGTCATCATCACAATATAATTATTTTTTTTCAACTTTTATTACTAGTTTATTATAACTTAATCAATAAACCATTATTAATTATTAATTATAATTCTATTATTAACTTTATTAATATTAATAATTTTAAATTTATTTTTTATTAAGATAAAAAACAACAATAATATTGTTTTATAATATAATAACATAAATAATATTATAAAAAAATAAATTTTCATCATTTTTTTAGTCGTAAACCCACCCACAAACGTAATATTTTTTTCCATTAATATAAACCTAATTTTCATAAAACTCTTTATTTTTTGTTATAACGTGTCTTTTTTTATTTAAAAGTGCAGTTTTTTTTTTTTTTTTTAATAAAACGTGGTATTTTGTTTTAAAACATGAAGTTTTTTAAAAAAAATGTGCTGTTTTCTTTTAATAAAAGTGCTGTTCTTTTATTTTTTTATTTTTTTAAGTGCAGATTTTGTAAATCATGCAGTTTTTTTAAAAACATGTAGTTTTTTTTGTTAAAGATTACAGTTTTTTATAAAAAGATATACTTATTTATTGATTCATAATTATATTAAAATATTAAAAATAAAAAATATTACGCCATCAATAAGAAAAAAATGTTGACTTTGATTTATTACTTTGAGTTTAATAAATAAATAAATAAATAAAAATTACATAAAAAAAATGTTGACTTTGATTTATTACTTTGAATTTAATAAATAAATAAATAAAAATTACATATAGTAATATTCTGTGTTAACCGAAAATTATTATTAAAATAAGTAATATCCTAATAATAATAGTAATAAAATAATATTAATAATAATAAAAATAATAATTAGTATATTTTTTAGTCATAATTTAATCAAATCTTAACTTGTTTGTGTCGTAATATATGAAATTTTTGTGCCTTCCAAAATTGATAATTTCTTTATAGTTGTATGATTAAACCGTAACTTGTTTAGAAAAATATAACAGGATAATAAATAAAATTCACCAGCACCTCTTCTCTATTCTTTTGCAAAAGGTGGTTGACAGTAATAATTAAGAGAGATAAAAACAATTAAAAAGTATGTTTTTTTAATATAATCAAAAGATAATTTATTAATGAGAACGATTATCTAATAATAATAATAGATAATAATAATAGTAGATTGGTGTATGGTAAAGTGGTGTGTGAAAAAAAAAAAACTCTTCCAACACACTTCACACCAGTAGATTGAGTACATATATCTATTTTTCTTTCCTTTTGCCTTATAATGATAGCAATGGTTTTGTAGTTGCGTTGAGATTTTATTTCATTGGGCATAAGGACATGATGGCTTTCAAGTCTTCTTCTTCTCTTTGGCTGCCTTCGTTTTGGCTAGTTTCTCGAACAAACTGCCATCAAATAGACCTCTCATGGCTTCTTTTGATAGGTAACCTCCCTCATCTTTAGCTATAATGTATACAAGCCCCCACTCGAACTTGTTTAATATCCTGCTTGACATCAAACACGTTGATTAATACTCGATTTAAAATGCTCAAAATGATTTTGTTTGATGTGATCGAAACACAAACCATCCCACAATATCGAATGCAACATGATTTCCTTGCGTCATGTTCCATAGCTCTCTCAATGTTAGCTTATCTGGGGCTGTTTTGCCATATTTGCTAAACATATTCTCGAAGTTAACAGGAAGATACCTAAAAGTAAAACTTATATATATATATATATATATATATATATATATATATATATATATATATATATATATATATATATATATATATATATATATATATATATATATATATATATATATATATATTTCCAGAGTACTACATACCTTCCTTCAGTATCGTATGTCCCAGAATCACTTGGATGCTTGCCTTTGTGTATGTTGGCTATGTGAATTGGAAGCAGCAAATTTGGAATGTAACCCTGCAGCCAAACAACAACAATCAAAGTACGTAGAGAAGAGTACATGAGCTTCACTTGAATGTAGTACTTGAGAGGATTGAACTCATGGAAAAACATAGACTAATTAAACTTCAACTTACAGGGAGGGAAACGTAACTAAATATTAGATTGAAACCTAATCCCAAAACTAAAGATACGAGTACATTGAACCCAATAGCTCGAAGCCCTGAAAGAGTTGAGAGCATCGTTTCATATATAATATTCAAATCAAACATTCGGGAAGTTGTTTTAGTTTGGTGTTTACCGGTGTAAGTCTCCCAAGGATAAACAATGCCATTGTTGTCTTGATCAAAGAAGGCGACATGTTGCTGGAGGACACTCATGCCACAAGCACTGTGTTCTTTTGTGCCATCTGGATGTTGCATGTCTGGTGCAGCCATAGCTCTAGCCATGTCTTTTGAAGAACACACAATCAGTCGAGGTAATAAAGAAACATTAATTCATCACTCAAGAAGTTATAAGAACTTACAGGGCTTAGGAATGGATGACTCAAGGTCACTCCGAACAGGTCGTTCGGCTGTGACTGGTGCTGATGGTGCTATTGTCGCCATTGCAGCAGGGTCATTGCTAATCTCCATCTTTCTGTATATGAGTAAGAAAGAGATGTTAGTGATATTTATTGAGAAACAACCAACGGATAGGAGTTAAGTTGAAAACGCAAAATGGGGTAGGAGAATCGTGTGGGTAAACAAAACACGCTGGTTGAAAATAGCACAGGACTAGCCTTTTTTTTTTTTTTTTTTTTTTTTTGAGAAAACTGCAAAAATGGTCCCTGTGGTATGATTTTTTGGGGGTTTCAGTCCAAACCTTGATTTTTTTGGATTTATGTTCCTTTTGGTCTAATTTGTACGTAGAAATGATCCCTCGACTTAACTTCCGTTAAGTTATTGTTGTTAACTCTCTCATGTGCATCTCACATGAGGGTATATTTGTCTTTTCACATATAAATGATAATTTTTGCACCTAAAAATATATAATTTTTTTAAATATTAATTAATACCTATTTATTTATTTTAATAATTAAAAAATAAAAAAGAACTCTCTCTCTCTCTCTCTCTCTCTCTCTCTCTCGCGCGCGCGCGCGCATCGTCTTCTACATAGTAACTAAACCCATCGTCTTTTGCATTGTAACTCATACATACACATATACATACTCTGAAAATCGATTATGCAAATCATTTTTTATTTTGTTTATGGACCAGACTAACAACAACCACATCAATCATCCCACCATACCTGTTGTGAATCGGATTTCAAGATCATACATTTTCTTCTTCGTGAGGGTATATATTGTTTTGTTTTATACATGCTTGTGAGGAGAGGGATGCTCTGTTATGGATAATCGATTCAGAAGGGGTTGAAAAGAACCTGAAATGTTTCATCAAAAGTACAGAGAAATGACAAACCTTCCAGCCAGCTAGATAAAGTAGGAATCAATCATCATATAAGATCTTTATAAGCTCATCAACTGCAAGAGTTTTAGAGAGAGAAAGACTAACTTGTTTCTATCAGATTTTAGGTTTGGGAGATATACAGGTCCGATTTCATAGTTTTTTTACATACATCTGAATTCTAAAATTTATGCTCCTGAATGAGGATCAGACGATTTTGTTTTGCCCATCTTTATATGATCTTACAATTCTTCGTTTTTCTCCTGAATAGGACGTTCGATTTAGCAACAGTCAATCGATGGATGATTAGATGGGGATAATCTCCAAACCATCTTACCCATTTTCCTTTCTGTGATTCCAAACCCCAACCCTTCCTTTCCATCTCCTTCTTCTTTAGAATCAATAATTGTGGAGATTTTGGAGTTTTAGTTTCGAAGGTGTGCATTATAGGACCATCAATCAAAACACTGCCAGAAGATGTATGGCACCGAGATGGAGGTGAATCCGGTGACGATTTCAAAGGGAAACACCGAATCTGAACCTTCATCGATGGGAGATGCTTGGGGGTGACGAATGGGGATTTTTAAATAGAGAGATGCGGGGTTGTGGTGGTCAACTGAGTCTCTAAACAAATGTTGTATATCCTGTACTATACCATTTTGTTCTTGCTGGATATTAATGGTGGATGAGGATTTGGGGAGAGAGAGAGAGAGACCTTTTTTATTTTATAATTATTAAAATAAATAAATAGGTATTAATTAATATTAAAAAAAGATATATTTTATAGGTGCAAAAATGGTCTTTTATATGTGAAAAGACAAATATACCCTCATGTGAGATGCACATGAGGAGGTTAACAACAATAACTTAACGGAAGTTAAATCGTGGGATCATTTCTACGTACAAACTAGGCCAAAAGGACTATGAATTCAAAAAAAGTCGAAGTTTTGACTGAAACCCCAAAAAATGCATACCACAGGGACATTTTTGCAATTTTATCTTTTTTTTTTTTTTTATGAACCATTTATTATTATGTATTCCAAATTTTATGTTCGAGACAAGTCATGATTACGTACCGGATTAAAAATCCAAATCACCAATTTTGTCGGATATTCATCATTTTAAGAGGTAATCGAGACTTTCCTACGGAAAAAAAATACAAAATGTGATAAAGATTTTTCATTAATTTATTTAAAATATTTAAAATATTAGTATTTTTCTAAAAGATAATACCAATATAATAACAATATAATACCATGTAAATTTTTATCCAAAACAACCAGTGCTTTTCGTTTTTATGTATCCATTTTAGTAGTTTTCTCTTTTTATGTAAGTTTAATATCTATTCTAATAAAAAAAATTGTTTTAATCTCATTTTAACATGTGTTATCCTATCAATCTTCTTAATTAATGTATGTTACTTGTAAACGTACTAATTATTCATTTTAAATTTTAAATTTTAAATTTCTCACTCTAATTATATTAAATTAATAACATTAAAATTAAAATTAAAATAAAACTAATACAAATTATAGGATGATATAATTTCACTTATTTATTTAAATTAACAATTATAATTTTACATAACTAAAAATTATCTCTTAATTAATAATTTATTTAAAATAATTATTTAATAATTTTGAATTGTCACTATGAAAGTTTAATTAATTGTAACCGTAGTTACCACGGATTATAAACTAATTAATATATATATATATATATATATATATATATATATATATATATATATATATATATCCTAATTCTAATAAATAAGTAGAACTCGGCCACGTGGCATTCTCCCAGCCCCCAAAATAGAGTTTTCCAGCTCATTTTTTCTTCTATATTTACGTAAATGCCATTGAATCCGAAAATTGAATAAAAGTTCAAACTGATGCAATATATCAGGAAATTTTAGCTGTCAACTGCATTCAAAATATTCATGCATTAATTTTAAATGAATAAAGATTATGGAAATAATTTGAAAAAATATGTTAATGAATAATCAGATTCGAAAATCACGATTAAATTTGAAAGTTTGTTTATTTTGATTGCAAATTCAATATATTGCAATCATTAAATCCCTAAAAATCTGCAGTATTTTTCAGCAAACGTAAATATCATTTATACGGTTATTTTGTTTTTACCATTCTGCTCCATAACAATTCTGCTCCATAGAAACCACAGCAAACGTATTCTTCTTCATTCTTTGTTATTCTGCAACGCTTCAAGAATTAAATATCAGGTTAGTGTATTCAAAAATCAGAATTACCAATATTTCTATTTCCTCCATGTTCTTATTTATCTGTATCTATCACGTTCTCATTGTATGATTTCTATTCTTCTTCTTTTTTGTAATTCTTCTTAATCGTCTACTTCTTCTACCTTTTCAGTTTAAAAGACGAAAAACTAATGAACATTACAAGTTCATTTTCTTTAAAAAAAATTAAAAATAGTCTTTTTCAGATGTGCACAGTAACTTTTTTTATGGTATGAAATTTTAAAATTTGTTTGTTTTTATCTAAATACAATCTCAAAAAAATTTAGAATTTTAAAATTTATGAGTACATTAAGTCAGTTGTTATTGTCATGTGTTGATTTATAATTTTTCTATTTTACTTATTGGTTAGGATGTTCTGTACATTTTAAAAGGTTGCTAATTTTCCTTACAATTCTATAATGATTAAATTTATTGCAGAAAATGGAAATAGGAAATAAGGTTTACCTAAATAACATTGACCAGATAGATGAAAAATCGCATATCAAGGTTTGGGTGCTTAAAATTTGGAACTTTGTCAGAAATAATAAAGTTTGTTCCATTGAAATGATCATCATGGATGAGGAGGTTTGTTGTATTTGATATATTTTTTATTCATCATTCAATATTAGACATGTTTCATGAACATAATAATTTTTAATTTTTTTTAAACAGGGTACACAATACCAAGCTCGTATCTTCAATCAGAATTTCTCCAGATTTCGTCATCTTTTAAAGGAAGATGAAAGTTATATAGTTATAAAACCCAATATGGCTGCTGTTACTAATGGTTTTAGTTATACAGGTCATAAACAGACCTTAACTTTGGATTGGAAAAGCATCCTAAAAAAATGTGATGATTTCTCGGGTCCGGTCAATGGATTTATGTTTGTTGACTTTAATTCTATCATAGAACAAACATGCCCAAAAGACACATTCTTTGGTTAGTCATATTTTATGAGTTGTTTGTCTCACCAAATGCGAAATTAATATTAACCATAATCACCTTCGCATCTTTAACCCCAATCCATACAACCTCATATGCGAAACCCAATTTTGATTTGTATTACCAAATGCGAACATTTTTGCTTTTACACGTGAACTGCATTTGACTCCAATATTGAACAAATCACATTTCACAATCCTTCTTGACTTCGCATTTTTCTTCACGAATCGTCCCTCAATCAATAACTCAATTAACCCAATTGCGAATCCAAAATCAAAACTTATCTGTTTTCATATGTGAACCCAACTGATTGGCTTTTCAAAATCAAATTCGCAACTCCAAATCGTTCGATTATTTGCCCAAATTCCAAAATCAAATAACAGATCCTTCGTATGATTCATTTAATAACCAAGGCTTCGTTCCAGAAAACATCGAATTTAACAGTTATTCGTTCCCACAATCTTTAACCTCCGTTTAAAATCGATCCCTATATACAAACCCAATAACCAATTGAACACATACCATTCGAAAACAATAATCATTACACCCTTCAACAGATTTGACATCGCATTTCAAAACAACCGATCTTACTTCATCTGCTTGATATATCGCAATTAACAATTAAGACAAATCAATCAATCAATCAATTTTTATAATAAAAATATTGCTATATATGTAAAGACCATATTGCCCCTAACTTGATAAGTATTTGATATATCGCAGTTAACAATTAAGACAGATCAATCAATCAATCAATTTGTATAATAAAAATGCGAAATTCTTAGCTTTCTTCCCCAATTCGCATTCTACTGTAAAATTCGCATTCTTCATTCACCCTCTTTCTTCGCATGTTCCAGTCATTTTTTTTTAGTTCATTCGCATTTGAGTTGTTTGTCTCACCAAATGCGAAATGAATATTAACCATAATCACCTTCGCATCTTTAACCCCAATCCATACAACCTCATATGCGAAACCCAATTTTGATTTGTATTACCAAATGCGAACATTTTTGCTTTTACACGTAAACTGCATTTGACTCCAATATTGAACAAATCACATTTCACAGTCCTTCTTGACTTCGCATTTTTCTTCACGAATCGTCCCTCAATCAATAACCCAATTAACCCAATTGCGAATCCAAAATCAAAACTTATCTGTTTTCATATGCGAACCCAACTGATTGGCTTTTCAAAATCAAATTCGCAACTCCAAATCGTTCGATTATTCGCCCCAATTCCAAAATCAAATAACAGATCCTTCGTATGATTCATTTAATAACCAAGGCTTCGTTCCAGAAAACATCGAATTTAACAGTTATTCGTTCCCACAATCTTTAACCTTCGTTTAAAATCGATCCCTGTATACAAACCCAATAACCAATCGAACACATACCATTCGAAAACAATAATCATTACAGGCCGGAGACAGTGATGAATATTAACCATAATCACCTTCGCATCTTTAACCCCAATCCATACAACCTCATATGCGAAACCCAATTTTGATTTGTATTACCAAATGCGAACATTTTTGCTTTTACACGTGAATTGCATTTGACTCCAATATTGAACAAATCACATTTCACAGTCCTTCTTGACTTCGCATTTTTCTTCACGAATCGTCCCTCAATCAATAACCCAATTGCGAATCCAAAATCAAAACTTATCTGTTTTCATATGCGAACCCAACTGATTGGCTTTTCAAAATCAAATTCGCAACTCCAAATCGTTCGATTATTCGCCCAAATTCCAAAATCAAATAACAGATCCTTCGTATGATTCATTTAACCAAGGCTTCGTTCCAGAAAACATCGAATTTAACAGTTATTCGTTCCAACAATCTTTAACCTCCGTTTAAAATCGATCCCTGTATACAAACCCCATAACCAATCGAACACATACCATTCGAAAACAATAATCATTACACCCTTCAACAGATTTGACATCGCATTTCAAAACAATCGATCTTACTTCATCTGCTTGATATATCGCAATTAATAATTAAGACAAATCAATCAATCAATCAATTTGTATAATAAAAATATTGCTATATATGTAAAGACCATATTGCCCCTAACTTGATAAGTATTTGATATATCGCAGTTAACAATTAAGACAGATAAATAAATCAATCAATTTGTATAATAAAAATTCGAAATTCTTATCTTTCTTCCCCAATTCGCATTCTACTGTAAAATTCACATTCTTCATTCACCATCTTTCTTCGCATGTTCCAGTCTTTTTTTTTAGTTCATTCGCATTTTAGTTGTTTGTCTCACCAAATACGAAATGAATATTAACCATAATCACCTTCGCATCTTTAACCCCAATCCATACAACCTCATATGCGAAACCCAATTTTGATTTGTATTACCAAATGCGAACATTTTTGCTTTTACACGTGAACTGCATTTGACTCCAATATTGAACAAATCACATTTCACAGTCCTTCTTGACTTCGCATTTTTCTTCACGAATCTATTCAAAAGGTTTTTCATTTTATTTTATAAACTTTTAATTATATTTGCTTGTAAAATTTTTTTAAATTTTTTCTTAATATTTTAAATTTTTGGCCGATATTGCATATGTGGTTATTATTGTTCAAATGTTAAAGCTATCTTGAGCTTGATACTTTGATACTTTTACAGGTGAAATTATATTGTGATTGAGGGTGCTTAATTTGTACTTTATCTAATTTGTATTAAAAAAAATGAAAACTTTGTTGGTATTCTCCTAGCAAAAAATCTTCATTCCTAATTAAATACTTCCCATTTAGTTAGTAATTAAATAATTACCAATAAAAAAAATTATTTAAATATTCAATATTACAATTTATAAGTTATCAGAATTATTGATATAATATTTTATTAAATAATTAATTTTTAAATTCAATTCAAAAACAGCACCCGTGGGTTCCACGGGTTTTAACCTAGTATATATATATATATATATATATATATATATATATATATATATATATATATATATATATATATATATATATATATATATATATATATATATATACTTCTCATAGTAAACAAAACTATGATATGACATGTCTTTATTATACCATTTCATATTGCCAAGTGGCACTTCTAAATAATTCTTTTGTTTTCCAAAAAATAAATCATAAATCTTATATCAAAAAAATACTTTTAATCCTTTAACTAGGTCCACTTTTTTTAGAAACAATATCAACGACGTACATTTTTTTAAATACAATTCATATCCTTTTTTGAAATTTCTTTAATTCCCCTGTTTCCAATTCATAAATCCAGAATTATTAATAGTAACCCCGAAAATTATAAAAAAAATACTCGAATTAATTCCATTTTTTGTAACAATAGAAGATGTCATTCAAATTTTGAAATACAAATCCTATCTTATTTTGAATTTTAAAAATGGATGAAATAATAACTTTTAGATTTTTCAGGATTTCCATTAAATACCATAATACAAATCCTATCTTATTGTAAATTTTGAAATTGATAAAATATTTTGAATTAATTTCACTTACCATGGAGAAGCCGATGCTTTTGGTTACAACTATTAATTTTTTTGTCTATACAAAATATTTAATCATATCAATCGTGGTTTCCACAGATTTTAACCTAATATGTGTATATATATATATATATATATATATATATATATATATATATATATATATATATATATATATATATATATATATACACACACACTAGTTTGTAACCCGTGGAAACTACGGTTACAAAATTAATTAAAATTTCATATTAAAAACTCAAAATTATTAATCAATTACTGTAAATAAATTACTTAAAAAAATATTAATTAAGATATTTTTATTAGTTATATAAAATTATAATCGTTGATTTAAATAAATACGTTAAATTATATTACCTTATAAATTGTATTAAATTTATTTTAATTTTTATTATAATTTTACTAATTTAATGTAATTAGTGTGAGAAATTTAAATTTTAAAATTTAAAATGAAAAATCAATATTTTAACAAGTGGTAATTATGAGGATTAATAATGTCACACAAGTCAAAAAGAGAATAACCATATATATATATATATATATATATATATATATATATATATATATATATATATATATATATATATATATATATATATATATATATATATATATATGATTTCATTTAAGACAAACTTAATTTTGAAAAGCCGGACCAAATTTTTTTAATGAAATATTCTAATATTTTACTTTTTCATAAAAATAGAATATGCAATATATTCTAACATTATATGTTTTAAAATATTTTAATGTAAAATATGTTAAAATTATTAGCTTAAAATATTAGAATGTTAAACATATGTAATATTTATAAACATTAGAATATTAAAAATATTTTATTAGAAAAAAGCGATATCACAATCTCACAAAATTAGGTGGTCTTATATAAACCTAACAAAATTAGTTTGTCATATTCAAAAAAATGTGTATATATTTTCATTCTTTTTTTTTTTTTTTTTTTTTTTTTTTTTTTTTGCAATTGACGTAGATATATGTATGTACCTGTATATGTGAAATTTGATATCCAATTTTACTTTAAATAAAAAGTTCTTGGTTGCTATTTCAATTTAGTTCTCTCTCTCTTTCTCTCTCTATATATATATATATATATATATATATATATATATATATATATATATATATATATTGAGAACTAAATTGAGGTAGCAACCAAGAACTTTTTTTAAAGTAAATTTGGTTATTAAATTTCACATATACAGGTACATACATATATCTACGTTGATTGCAAAAAAATGAAAAAAAATATATGCACATTTTGTTGAATATTTATGTGTACAAACAAATATGAATATACATTAAAAATGTATTTTTCTGAAAAATTCTTTTTTAAATCTTAATTTCGAAATATAATTTATATATTCATATATTTGAAAAAATACACTTTTTCTATTTTTTTCATTTTCTATTTTTTTTAATTTTATAAAATCAGCGAAGATATTCCTTATATTTTGAAATTAATATTTAAAAAAAAGAATTTTTTTTTTCAAAATGGATTTTTAATGCA